TAGGAGACCACCTTGAAAACAGGTGGCTTCAGAAGTGGGTCTAGAAGCAGGGTGAGGAGTGTGGCAGCAAATCCCTTCAGCAGTTAGGGAACTGTGGAGGGTTCTGACCTTTATTACCTCAGCTCCGAGGAGAAGCAGTGCTTCGTCTCCTAAAACTTGCTGGCGAGCACTTCTAACATTTAATAGCTGTTAAGCTTAGCTTAGCTAGGACAAAGCCAGCAAAGAAGGACTTGTTTTCAGCACACATCACACTTCCTCTCATTTTGGGAATGGTCTGGAGCTCCAAGCAGCCTTGGCAGCTCTGCACAAGAAGTAGAAAGAGAGAATATTTGTCCCAGCTTTGTTGTTTTCACACAGAGCTGTTCTGAAGGCTGAGGGAAGCTGATGAAGGCTGGCAGAGGTTTGGAGAGGAGGTCTGGCTGAACCAAGAGTTTCCTCAGTCCCACCTTCATCCCCCTCCTCAGCTCCCCTGTGTGCCCCTCTGGGGCTGTGACCACTCCGAGACTTCCCCCACACCCCTGTGCCACCCTGAGGTGTCCCCAGACCCTGCCCTTCACCCCATCCTCCCCCTCCCTGCTCCCCCAGGCCTGGCTTTAGCCATTCTGCTCTGGCCACCAAAGCAGGAGCTGAGGGCACTTCATGGAACGGAACAAAAGAGAAGAACAGGCTCCAAATGAAAGAATTTGGTGCAGAGGCGCTGGGTGGCTCCCCAGGGCATGGCCTGGCAGGTCCCTGCTGATCTGGCCCCTGGCAATGAGGTGCACGGAGATGTTTGCCCTGCACCAAGCCCAGACTAACAGCTGGGCTGTTACATCCTCAGCTGATCTGACCCGGGGTAAGCCTGCAGCCTCTCAGGCTGGTCCTGGTCTCTCCTGATCCCAGTCTTTCCTGCTCATCCTGCAGCCCCTCGGGCTGGTCCTGGTCTTTCCTGATCCTGGTCTCTCCTGATTCTCCTGCTCATCCTGCAGCCCCTCGGGCTGGTCCTGGTCTCTCCTGATTTGGTCTCTCCTGCTCATCCTGAACCTCTGGTCTCTTCTGTTCCCAGTATCTCCTGCAGAGCCTGGGAATGTGACAGGTACAGCACAGGAATGTGACAGGTACAACAGGGAATGTGACAGGTACAGCACAGGGATGTGACAGGTACAACAGGGAATGTGACAGGTACAGCACAGGGAATGTGACAGATACAGCACAGGGAATGTGACAGGTACAACAGGGAATGTGACAGATACAGCACAGGGAATGTGACAGGTACAACAGGGAATGTGGCAGGTACAGCACAAGGAATGTGACAGGTACAAATAAGAATATGACAGGTACAACAGGGAATGTACAGGTACAAGAGGGAATGCTGAGTCCCAGCTCCAGGACTGAGCCTGCAGAGATCCCCCTGCAAGGCCTAACAAAGCCTGTCCTGGCAGGGTTGTTGAGCCTGCGGAGATCCCCCTGTAAGGCCTAACAAAGCCTGTCCTGGCAGGGTTGTTGAGCCTGCGGACATCCCCCTGCAAGGCCTAACAAAGCCCGTCCTGGCAGGGTTGTTGAGCCTGCGGAGATCCCCCTGTAAGGCCTAACAAAGCCTGTCCTGGCAGGGTTGTTGAGCCTGTGGAGATCCCCCTCCAAGGCCTAACAAAGCCCGTCCTGGCAGGGTTGCTGAGCCTGAAGAGATCCCCCTGTAAGGCCTAACAAAGCCCGTCCTGGCAGGGTTGCTGAGCCTGTGGAGAACTGGCTGTAAGGCCTAACAAAGCCCATCCTGGCAGGGTTGCTGAGCCTGCGTGTGCTGGAACACCGAGCCCGGAACTCTGCGAACAAACAGACCCAGCGAGGGCTCGCAGAGAAAACGAGCTGTGCAGGGGGAAGGACAGTGCTGGCTGAGGGAGTGAGGGTGTTTTATTTGGAGGAGGGGATGCAGTAACACATCTCACAGACTCTGCCCACGCGGGCAGCGAGCGCTTGCAGGGCTCGGTGTATGAAGGGCACAGGAAGGGTTTCCAGCCCTGGAAACACTTGGAGATGGAGATCTGCTGCTGGAGATGCAGACATTTCCTGCAGAGATGCTCAGGAGTTCTCCCTGGGACAGTGCTGCCTCTCCTGAGACCCTGGGACAGTGGAAGCTGTCCTGCTCTGCCCTCGCAGCCAGCTCGCAGGCTGCCAAGGGCACCGAGGCTCATGCCCACGGTCTGGGGCACTCCTGTGATCCCCTGCCCCAGGAAAATCCCCTTCCTGTCATTCCTGGGAGCCTTTGCACACCTCCAGCATGTCCGTGGATTGTGGAGATTGTAGAGAGTAGTTTAGTATGTCACATGGGTGAGAAATTTCGGTTTTAGGATTTTTAACATATTGGAGATGAGTACAAAATGGAGGACACGGGGTGTTGTCTCAAGTTCCTTTCTTTATTTTTTTTCTTCCTTCTTATTGGGTTTAGGTAGTATCTTGTAATTGGGCAGAAAAATCCACATTGTGGCCTTTAGGGGCCAGTTAATTGGGTTAGAAAGAGAAATAATCTAAGTGTCACTTCTTAATTGAGTAGTTTAGTTTTTAATTAGATTAAAAAGGCCTTACAACATGAGGCTATTGGCCACTTTTGTGCTGTTTTCATGCATGCAAGGTCTGTGTGCAGACAGTGTGCTGAAGTCATGATAAGATAACAATAAAACAGAAACCTGAGGCCAGAAAAAGTCTCGTGCACCTGCTTTTCCTGACACAGAACTGCTCCAGGAGGGCTTCCCCTCTCCCAGAGCTCAGGGCCATGTGGAGGCCAAGGCCCCTGGCCCCGAGGGCACGGTTGCCCACCTGGGAGAGGCTCCTGAGCAGCTTTGTGCTCTCCACACTGCCCCAGGCAGCTCGGGCCAGGCTGGCATCAGGGCAGTGAGCGTTCATCCCACAGGGCTCTTCATCCCATGGACACCCCTTGCTGCTGAGAGGGCTGCCAGGCTGGGCAGTGACTGATTGGACTCCCCAGGAACCAGCACACCCCTGGTGCTGCTCTGTGCCCTTTTCAAGTCCCTGATAAAATAATCTCCCTCATCCCGTCCTCTCGAAAGGCCTGGCCTTGCAGCTGTACAAGCAAATGACATCCCCTTCATTTATCACCATCAAAGGGAAAGCAAGAGGGGAAAACTCAACCCTTGGTGCTAAGAGCGTGCATTAAAACGTTATCAAGTCTCTTGGCTTTCATTTGCACAGCTGGAGCTGTCCTGGTCTCTGGAGGGACAGGGAGAGCAGTAATGGGAGGACAGGCTGCCCCTTCCCTCTCCAGAGCATCAGGGCAGCATCTTGCAGGATAAATGTGTCCCTGTGCTTCCCGGGACACTCTCCTCCTCCCTGCCTCAGCCAGGTGTGCAAACAAGCTGAGGGCAGCATCTCGGCAGGATAAATGTGTCCCTGTGTTTCCCAGGACACTTTCCTGCTCCCTGCCTCAGCCAGGTGTGCAAACAAGCTGAGGGGGAACCGAGGCTCCCCTGGAGCCGGGAATCCTCTTGGAGCATCTCCGGAGCATCTCCGGCTCCCGCTGGGAGCGAGGGATGAGGGCGTCCCTCCCTCCGGGGCTGTGCTCCCTCCGTGTCCCAGCTGCCAGTGCCACACCGGCATGGACCGTGCACCTCCTGCCCTGCTCACTGCGGATCCCACCCAGCCTGGCCAGCCGGGAGAAACAATCCAGCTTTTTCTGAGTGCAGGTGAACCGTGGGCTCAGCTTTGAGCTGAGAGAGCTGAGAGCCCCTGGTCTGGGCTTAGCTTTGCATCCCAGAGCTGCCAATGCTGAGGCACCTGTTGCAGGGATGTCCTGCAGTCACTCACTGAGGGCTTTTAAGGAAACACTGAGGAATTTTAAAGGAACCTGCCCAAATCTCCAGATGCTCCTCACTGCTAGCTCGCAATGCACACACAGAGCCTGCTGTGGGGGCTGAGAATGTCTGGGGGGGTGAGGCCATCTTGCAGGCACAGGTGCCACCCCAGCTGAGACTGGACTTCAGACAAAAGGCATTAAAATGGTCACAGCCCTGTGTGCTCTGCAAGGCTGGCTGTGATGGACAAAGCCACGGCCATGGGTTGATGGCTGCAGCTTCCATCTCACTGCTGGCTTGGACAAACCCCAGCACATCGGCCCTTTCCTCACTAAATCCACCTTTTGTTACCAGTTTGCTCCTTCTCCCCGTTATTCTCTGCCCTGGAGCTCAGTACTCATTTCTGCTGCCACGGGGCTCTGCTGTCCCTGCACAGGGGCAGGGTGAACTCACCACGCTGAGCTGGGAAAACCAATTCTGCTCTGCCCTCTGAGCACCCAGCGCAGGCCTGGCAGGGACCAGACAGAGGTGAGGACAGAGAAAAGTGAAGTTTGGCTGGGAAAGAGCCTTGGCTGCTCTGCACCAGCTGGGACTGTGCAAAGCTCAAAGGATCAGTGGAGATTGTTCACCCCAAGGCCAGGCATCACACCAAAAGCTGAGCTGGGCATGGGACAGGGGAGGCAGCTCCAGGCTCTGCCTGCTCAGCTGCAAAGGGGCCAAACTCATCAGCTGGCTGTGACAAGGTCACCCCCTGGCACCCACCCTGAGGGGGCGGTGGCACTTGGGGGTGGCCAGAGATATCCATGGAGCAGTGGCAGCCTGGGGAAGGGCTCCGTGTGCCACAGGCCAATGTCCCAGTGCCCCCAGGCGCAGGATGGCCCCGTGGCTGGGACACTGGAACTGCCAGGGAGAGCTGCAGCTGATCTCCAGGGCCTGCTGCCCCCAGCCAGGCTGCGTGAGACGGTGCCAGCCTGTGTGTCCCTGCTCCTGCTTGCCCTGCAGGGAAAGAGCACCAAGCCGCTCCTTGGAGCAGCAGCAGGGAGTGATTCCCCCGGGAGAGGGAGTACAGGGCACGGAGCAGCCTGTGTGTCACACCTGGGCACACCCCAGGACACGCTGGCCCTCCCAGGTGCCACATCTGATAAAGGCACAGCAGTGGGCGATGATGGAGGGGAAGCCCGTGGAGGAAACAGAATCAAAATTCATGACAACTCTGCCTTTCAGTTTGGTGATTTCAGGGCCGTTCATAAATTTACATGTTTAATTAAATGCTACAAGCAACTGATTTTTCCATTAGGCTCTGTGTTCCTTATTGCACTCCACAAGGCTCGGGCTCTCCTGCCTTGTGTGCAAGGCCAGATAAGGCTCCCCTGCCATTCCCAGAAGCAGCAGGAGCAGCTTTCCAGGGGTTTTCATGCTGGGTGGTTTCTCTCTCCCCACGCCTTCTTCTTTTCTGAACAAGCCTGGAAATAAAGAAGAAGGAAATTTCCATGGGATTGTCTCCTCTCTCTGCCAAAGGTGTCTTTCAAGGCATGAATTAGAAAAGGAGGAAGAAAAGGAAGAAAGAGGAGGCTGAGAGCTCTACAAGAAAGGAAACCGGAGATAAAGCAAATAAATAAAGCCACAGGGAGAGAATACAGAGGGAGGTGAAACGGATCCTTACGGGCTCGGAGTCACTGCTCCACAGCTCCCTCCTGGCACAGGAGACCCCAGGAAGAAAATCCCCTTTCCCCATACAAGTGTATGGGGAAAGGAAAATCAGCGGCCAAGCTCCACGTGTGGGGCTGCACCGTGGAAAAAAGGTCACTGGGATGAGATGCCCAGTGCCTCCCGCCTGCTCTTGCCTTTCCTGCTGCTCCCATCACCTCACCAGGGTGGACTTCGTGGCTTGCTCCCAGAGGAAGTGAATTTGCTCCACTGAACTGCTTGGGGAAGGGGAAGTGTCCTGGTTTAGGGCAAATTTGGGAGAAAACCTCCAAACAGGGAAAAGGGGCAGGGAAAATAGAAAAAGGGAAAGAGGAGAGGGGGATGGGAAAAGGGAAAGGGAATGGGAAAAGGGAAAAGGGAAAGAAAAAGGGGGAGGGGAAAGAGGAAAGAAGAAAGGGAGAGGAGGATGGGGAAAGGGAAGGGGACCAACTGGCTCTGCCTTTAAGCCAGAGACTCTTCAGTTCTGCAGATGGAAGTCACTTGTCAAAACTAAAGCAGGAGCCTCATGCCACCTTTGCTGCAGCCAGCAGGCTCAGAGGCTCCGTGCACTTCCCCATCACAAAATAAATGAGGCATTCAGCCCTTATTCCCAGGAAAAGACCACAAAACCCCAGTTCCCTCCTCAGCACTGCTTGGATGCTTTGGCCCTTCTGCAAGGATGAGTTTCCTGAACACCACCAGGCAAAGGGTTACCACAAAAGCAGCAGTTCTGGCTGTGAAAGGATATTTAGAAGTTATTTTGCTCCTAATGTTGCTGGAGAGAGCGAGTTACAGAGCAAATTGGTTCTTAGGATGCATGTGACACTACAGGGAGCCGTGTGTAATAAGGCAGTGTGATCATAAAACCCCCCGGTTCATCCTTACAAAGGAATCTGACCCTCTCTGGAATTTGTCATTGGGGATTATGGATGATTTTTTTATTTCTTTTTTAATGCTTGCAGCAGGTCAGAGCTGTGAAGGGTGAAGGCCTTGGAGCTGCTCTCAGCCCAGCTCAGTGCAGGGACAGATGAGGGTGTGTAACATTCTGGTTTTTCTCACTTTCCCCTTATCCCAAGGAGGCTCATTTCCCTGCCAGGCTGGAGGGAGAGGAGCCAAAGGACTTTCCAAGGCTCTGCAGCATCTTCCCAAGGCCAAGACTGAGACCAGTATTAGAGCCGAGGAAAGTTGAGTCACCTCATTGCCAGGCTGGATGTCAGCACAGGTTATATTTTATATAAACACAAACCCAGGCACTGTCCCCCCTGGGCTGCAGCACATCCTCCGTGGGCGAGGCTGGGTCAGTGCTGGATCTCGGCTGGCAGGTGGCAGGTCCCACCCCAGGGGTCACAGCTTATTAAAATGTAATTGCATTGTAAATTGGATGCACTGAACTATTGTGAGATCAGCGTCCAGGCCTCTGCCCGGATGGTGGAGAATGTTAATGATCCCTCTCCACACTGCAGCCAGAGGGGAGTTGGGCTCCAGCCCTTCCTGGTGTCCATCCTGAGGCCGTTCCCTCTTCTCCTGTCCCTGTTTCCTGGGAACAGATCCCAAATCCCCCCGGCTGTCCCCTCCTGGCAGGAGCTGTGCAGAGCCACAAGGTCCCCCTGAGCCTCCTTTGCTCCAGGCTGAGCCCCCTCAGCTCCCTCAGGAACTCTCCAGCCCCTTCCCAGCTCCCTCAGGAACTCTCCAGCCCCTTCCCAGCTCCCTCGGGAACTCTCCAGCCCCTTCCCAGCTCCCTCGGGAACTCTCCAGCCCCTTCCCAGCTCCCTCAGGAACTCTCCAGCCCCTTCCCAGCTCCCTCAGGAACTCTCCAGCCCCTTCCCAGCTCCCTCAGGAACTCTCCAGGCCTTTCCCAGCTCCGTTCCCTGCCCTGGCCTGGCTCCAGCTGCCCTGGCAGGCTCTGGACGATGGAGGCACTCAGAACTGAGCCATTTTCCGTTGTTGCCCCTTCTCCCCCTCCATCCCCGCCGGTTCCCCAGCACATCCCGGCTCTGAGGGGCAGGGCAGCCCTGCAGAGCTCCCTGTCTGTGCCGGCTGTCCCGCTGCCATCTGCCGCGGCACTCGGGGCCCGCAGGCCGCGCCCGCCGCTGACAGCCGAGCGCATCGGGGCGGCTCCGGCGGGAGGGCCCCGGCGGGTAAATCCTCCGCTCCCCGCCGAGCTGCGGGCACGGCCGGCGCTGGGAGCTGCGGGGGGACCCCAGAACGGCTTTTGGGGGTGACAGGCTCGGATCCTGTCCAAGGAGGGGAATTCGGGAGAGCTCTGAGAGCAGAGAGGCGGCGCATCACACGCAGGGGGGGAGAGAGACGCCGTGCAGTTAAAGCCTCGCTCTGTTAATGACGGCAATTAGCACGGAGCTCCCATTAAAAGAAACACGATTTTGTTGTGTACACGAGCGGAGAAGAGTAAATACCCATTACTTTACCCATTTTATCTTCCGCAGGAATAGGGCAATCGGAGGCTGCTGTTGACAAACCAGCTCCTTCCCTGCGGGGCTCCGGGGACCCTGGGCCCCCACGCTTTATCCCGTCCCCCTGGGCTGTCCCCGCCTGTCCCCGCCTGTCCCCACATCCCCGGAGCGCTCCTCCCGTGACCCACCCGCAGCCCCGCTGTGCCCCTGTCCTGGGGCTGGCCGGGAGGGTCTGCGGGGCTGGTCAGCTCTGGCCGGGGTGTCCCGGGTGTCCCGGGTGTCCTGGGTGTCCTGGATATCCTTGGTGTCCCGGGTGTCCTGGATAGCCTTGGTGTCCCGGGTGTCCTGAGTGTCCTGGATGTCCTGGATGTCCTGGGTATCCTGGGTATCCTGGGTGTCCTGAGTGTCCTGAGTGTCCTGGGTGTCCAGGGTGTCCAGGGTGTCCTGGGTGTCCCAGCCCTCCCTCCACATGCTGAGAGCAGCAGCTCGGCTCACGGGAGATCGGAAAGAACTCCTGGAACAGCGGGGGAAAGGCCGAGTTCAAGGCTGGGAGGAGGAACCGAACCTGGGAATCAAACCCTGGGATCAAACCTGGGAATCGAACCTGGGGAACCGAACCCAGGAATCAAACACGGGAATCAAACCCAGGGAACTGAACCTGGGGAACCGAACTCGGGAAGCGAACCTGGGAAGTGAACCCAGGGTTCCTGCTGTCCCCGCTGTCCTCGCTGTTCCTGCAAGGTTCTCACTGTCCCTGCTGTTCCCACAGGGTTCCCACTGTCCCCACAAGGTTCTTGCTGTCTCCACTGTCCCCGCTGTCCCCCAGGGGTCCCGTGGCAGGAGACGCTTGTCTCCCAGACAATGTGAGAAGAGCACGGAATGGACCCAGGAACAGCACATCCCGCTGGGCACACTCCTTCCTGAGCCTTCCCGGGGATCCGGGGCACGAGGCCCGCTCCAGCACGTGGATAGCGCTGGGTCAAACAGCTGATTATATCAAAAATGGAGATGTGGCCTGAGCAAAGCTCTCAGCAACCACTTTTCCAGCCATTTGATCAAAAGCCACTTAGAGGATATTTTTCCCCCCATTCTTTGGGGCTGATTAAAAAAATTATTCTGAACAGGCACAGCAGTTCAATTGTAATAATTTTGTCGCGTGGAATATTTTGATTTTTCATTTTCATTTTCCAGTGCTGCTCCGTTTCAAAATTTAGCAAAAATGCGATGATTACTGTACAGTTAAAACGAGGGGAGGGAAGCAACATGCTGAAACCTTTCCTCTGAGATAAGAAAAGAATAATATCCTATCACTGTGCATCCGGAAATATATTTTTTCTGATTTGAAAAGGGGGGACGGGGTAATGCTGCATTTTTAATTTTGTTCTATTCTTTGGATTTTATTCTGAGCCCAAAATGCATTTAAACAAGTTATTTCTGCAATTCTGCCAGTTAAAATGGAACAGCTTATTTCCCAGAGCAGAGAAAAGGCTGCAAATAGAATCCGAGGAATCAGGAGGAGCAGGAGCCTTTCTTATGAAAACGCAGAGGTTTCCAGCCTGGGAACTGACGGCTGCTGTGCCTTGGGATGGGGTTTATGTTCCTCTCGACTGGTGCAGAGCTGTCTCCTGAGCAGGGCAGTGAGACTCACCTCTGGCTCCTTCGGGCTGCTCCGGGGCTGTGGCCGGGGCCTCTCCCCCCGTGTGCCCCAGCTGGGCACAGGGAGAGCTCTGCTGGTGCCACAGGCACAGCCAGGGTCCTGGGGAGAGCAAAACCACCCCCAGCATTCATCCTGCTCATCCCAATCCCTGCTATCACACTCGGTACTGCTTATCACACCAGCACGGCTTGGCCTGGCTGCCCAGGGCAGGGCTGGAGTGCCCATCCCTGCGGGCACCCAGAATGTGCAGATATGGCACTGGGGACATGGGGCAGTGCTGGCCTGGGCACTGCTGGGGGATGGTCAGACTCAGCGACCTTTCCAATGGTTCTGTATTTCTGTACTTCTGTGTTTATTTCTGTACTTCTGTATTTCTGTGACTGCAGAGACCTCCTGGAGAAGGAGGTAGGAATGGGATGGTGAAGGACATCCCCCAGCAGTGTCCTTTGTCCCTGGGGGAGGGTTCCCCTGTGCAGGGAGCAGCGAGCTGAGCAGCTTTACTGGGTCTAATCCCAGAACTCCCTCAGACCCTAAATTCTGTCAGGATCTCCAGCCCTGGAGACGGGGAGCCCGTGAGGCCACATCTGCCCGACAGAACAAGGGGGGAGGTCCTGCTGTGCTGCCAGAGGGGCTCAGGGAAGGGATGGGAAGGGATGGGAAGGGATGGGAAGAGGCCCTACAGGGTCCCCCTTCCCAAAGGTCTCACCACAAACCACGGACGGACGTCCTGTCAGAGCCCCCATCCCACCTGCACGTGGAAACAGCTCTGCCCGACCTGAGGAACCCACGGCTGCCAGGAGACCCTGCCCGGGCTGCAGCTGCCTGCAGGCACAAAACGAGGCTCAATTCTCATTCTAAGGTAAAGACCTGAAAGCCCATGAGCCCGCACAAAAGGTGGCAAATTCACAAGGCAGCTCTCCAGTGGGAGCCTGTAATTCTGCTGTTCTCTTTCCACCTCACAAAGGGCCAAATCAAGTGTCTAAATAAAGGGTGTGGAAGTGCAGGGAGGGAGAGAAGAGCCCCTTCTCCATCTGCCCGGCCCTAAACACCCCCAGGTCTCCTCCGCCCGGCTTTCAGCATCGCTCATTATCCGCGCTGGAACTGCGGCCCGGAGCCCTTCCCCCGTGCTGCCGGCGCTGCCCCAGGGCTGCCCGGCCACAGGGCCGGCGGTGCTGCTCCCTCCCAGCTCATCCCAGCTCCGAGCCTCCCTTCGTGCCGGCAAAAGGCACACCTCCCCCGGCACGGCCCTGCCCCGCCACTGGTCCCAAATCCCGGCCGGTGGGCACAAACGGCATCGGCTGCCCCATTACAGCCCCGGCCTGCGGCCTGCGGCCTGCGGAGCCGGCCCGGCAGGAGGAGTGTCTCTGCCTGTGTTATCGGCCGATTTAAATACTAACGAGCCCATAACCACGTTGGAGTAGAGTAATGGCCATAATAATAGAAGCCATAAAAGCTGCAGTGCCCTCAGGAACGTTCCCACCCAGGTGTGACCTGCCAGGAGAGGGAAGGGATGTCCCGCAGGGCCCAGAGCAGCTGCGAAAGGTGTGCCAGGGCAGCGGGGCTGGCAGGAGGGAGAGCGGCTCTGTGCCGAGCTGTGCCGTGCTGTGCTGTGCTATCTGTGCTGTTCTCTGCTGTGCTATCTGTGCTGTGCTGTGCTGTGCTATCTGTGCTATTCTGTGCTATCTGTGCTGTGCTGAGCTGTGCTGGGAGGGAGGGAGGGAGGGGGAAATCTCCCAGGTGTGGTCTCACGTTTGTGGGTCGGTGACATTGCCATGCTCGGGTTTGTCCCCTCATCTGGAGGTCAGTGCAGGCATTTCCAAGATGTTTTATAGAGCCAGAATCATGGAATCACGGGGCTGGGAAATCGAGTCCAACCATCCCCAGCACTGCCCCATGTCCCCCAGTGCCACTTCCACAGGGTTGGGAAATCCCCCAGGGATGGGGACTCCAGCCCTGCCCTGGGCAGCTGTGCCAGGCTGGGCAGCCCTTCCCAAGAGGAATTTCCCCAGTTGCCACCCTAGGGCTCCCCTGAGGCCGTTCCCTCTCCTCCTGTCTCTGTTTCCTGGGAACAGATCCCAAATCCCCCCGGCTGTCCCCTCCTGGCAGGAGCTGTGCAGAGCCACAAGGTCCCCCTGAGCCTCCTCTGCTCCAGGCTGAGCCCCCTCAGCTCCCTCAGGAACTCTGCAGCCCCTTCCCAGCTCCCTCAGGAACTCTCCAGCCCCTTCCCAGCTCCCTCGGGAATTCTCCAGCCCCTTCCCATCTCCCTCAGGAACTCTCCAGCCCCTTCCCAGCTCTGTTCCATGCCCTGGCCGTGCTCCAGCCCCTCCAGGCTCTCCAGCTGCCCTGGCTGGCCCTGGCTGCTGTGTTGGAGGAGGATGAAGGCTTGGATGAGGCTGGGTAGTTGAAGTCCCCACATCCTCTGCCCCATGTGGTCCCATAGGCCAAATCCCCAATCTCCACATCCTGGCAGACCCCTGGACACTGCCCCAGGTCTCTGCCAGCAGCTCCTGCAGGACTCCACATGCAGAAGAGCTCAAGTGCCTGGATTTGATGAATAAAGTCTGCTCCAGAGTGCAATGGAGGATGTTCACACGTACAAACCCCCGGATCAATCCATGGCCAACCTCAGCTCTCAGTGCTGGTGTTTACAGACACTTCCCTGCCTCCAGGCTGCTCCAGCTTTATCTACTCTTGTGGTTGTTATTACTATTATTATCATTATTATTATTGCTATTTTCATTTTCCTTCTCAGATTTATGAGTCTTGGCTGTGAGCAGGGGTTGGAAATGGGAAAATCCACTCCTGGATTACATCAGAGAGCCAGTACAGCAGGAGAATGTGAAATGAGGAGCAGCAATAAAATGGATTATTAAAAAAAAATACTCCTCTCCCTGAGTTCCTCGGTCATTTAGCAAGACTGTAAGTTATTAAAAAAGGAATAAGAGAATTAAAAAGTGAAATCAAGTGAGGGATAGGAATTAATTGGAGAGGAATAAAACAATGGTAAATAAATGAGACGTCAGGGAAAGATGATCAGAGAATGGGAAATGACACATTTGCTTTTCCACCTGGCCAGGTGTCACAGGGCCATGGGACACCCAGGGACACTCAGGGACACTCAGGAGCACAGCAATGACCCTCCAGAGAAGGAGCCACTCTGGAGCTCAGGGCAGCTGCTGGTGTTTCTTTCAGTGTCCCCGTTGTGAGCTCTGCCCCCCGTGACCCCACAGCCTGGGGTGGAGCCACCCAAAACTCATGGCTCTGAGTGCAGCAGGGCTCTGCAGTGACCCCAAACAGCCCCAGGGCTCTGCAGTGACCCCAAACAGCCCCACTGACCCCAAACAGCCCCACTGACCCCAAACAGCTCCAGGGCTCTGCAGTGACCCCGAACAGCCCCACTGACCCCAAACAGCCCCAGGGCTCTGCAGTGACCCCAAACAGCCCCACTGA